CGTATATTGTATACACATACACACTGTATTTTATTTACTTATAGTATTTGCAATATTTATACATTATGTTTCGATGGCTGTGAGCGAACACTTAGCCCAACCCAAGTCACATTCGAACATAGAGGTACATAGAGATTTAATGTGGAGAAAACTGAATGGCCAATGTAAAGCTTTACATTAACACCTCTGCAATTTTGAAGCTTGGAAGATTAAGAAAAATTTTAAGATTTCTGGCATATCTGGATGACTCTGATGGATCGATTCAACTGAATTTTGAAGAAAAATTTTTTCTTCTAGACAAAATTTTGAAGCCGTGATTATGATTTTAGCGAATGAATAGATGGACAATTGCACAATACGCGCTGATTATCCTTACACATATACTTTATGAAGTTTCCAATGCATATTTAATGCGTTGCGAACATCAACAATTAAGAAAATTGTTATCGAAAATTCAAAATAAGATAAATAAAATTTTCTTCATTTTTTTTTTAATCAAATTTAATAAATTTTCGCTCTTTTTTGAAATTTTAAAAACTTTAACCAATACATGTCGCTTTAAGTCCTAAGCACAAAACATCCTTCCAGAAAACAATAATAATAAAGAAAAAAAAAAAAAGAAAGCAATAAAATGGAAAATTTTAAATATTTGAAGCATATGCTTGGTAAAGAAAGAAGATAGAGTCACCATTCAATTCAACAGACATACATACATACATACATACGAAGGGTATGCGTAATAAACTTTTGTCGGCCAAATCTCATACAATGTCTGTTTTTGTTGGTTATGAATGAGAACAAGATACGGTCTCCTTATCATGTTATGATGTTTAATTTACAGTTTGTGTAATACAAAAACTTTTCTGACATTTTTCACTTTGTTTTTTTTTTCGTTTTGCATATTTTTACTCTATTATCTTTGATAGAAGTGTACGTATGTGTATGGAAAAATGTCCATTTGCCGAAATAATTATGATTTGACCCGTATGAAAATGTCCCAATTTTCCAACATTCTAATGAATATGTTCCGCACAGAGAGCACATACCGACTATCTTAACATTGATATGCAATAGTTTAACACATATTCTCATCACATATACATATAAAGACGAACATCTTATATTCAATATTTTCTGAGATCTGACGCAATTTTAAACAAACGTATTTCCAACCATATGCATGTATATATGTATACATGCGTAAAATATTTAGCAGAGTGGTTAAGCGGCAGCGACAAGTGCTTTATTGGAAGAAACACTTTATGTTTATACATGGTATAGAGTAGCGTATGTGTATTGGCTCGTTATTGGACTAACACATCATATATCTGCTTATAACAATCTATTCTTTTTTGGGTTTGAATGGTTTTTTTTTTCCTATAGATAAAAGATAGCAAATGTATTTTGAGATAAATGAGGCTGAGGGTTACAATCCCTTCAGCTTAGTAAAGCTCATTTAAATTTAATCTTTAGGCGCCTTCAACATACGGATCTTCATGCATAAATGATATAAGTACGGATGGCTTTTGCTTATTTACTTTCCAGATTTAATCATTATTACGTTTCATCTCAAAAAGCAACACCTACTCGTTAGGCCGATTCATCCCCTTCCACACTGTCGATTACAGCTATAGCGATTGCAACAATCTGAACGTAATGACGATGAAGATGACCGGTTCGATATTATTTCGGCGCCTATAAGCAATATGAAATCCACCAATCAGAATCAAACCTCAATCAACTATAATAATTTTGTTCAAACACCTAATAGTTCGACTTTGAGGTAACAAAGAACGGAGCTCAATAACTGAATTGATTTTCAATTCCTTGAAAATGGATATCAATTAAATTTTTCTACAAACAATTTGAATAAGTAACATAATCCCCCAAATCCCAAATATTAGATAAAATTGATAGGCCACGCGTAACAATGTTACTTTTGCAAGACGAGGATAAGTGGGCGATAGACTGGGGGACTTTTCTTTAAGGGGGATCTTTTCACATGCAGACCAATGGGTAGAGAGGGTAAAGAGGCAATGCCAAAACATAAACATCACCGCCCATGAAACCGCTAACTCGATTAGGTAACCAGGCAGTGCATCATGTATGTAGGAATACCCTCCATGTGACGAACTAGAAATCGGTTCCAGGCATGCCGCTTCCACAACATTTTTTTCAAAAATTTCACCTGGGTTCCATATGCCGTAGGATCACTTCAGTCCGTAATCGTGTAAGATATGTCCTGTGCGTCAGTCAAAAATATTTATCCTGACGTTCATCGCACATTTAAATATCATTTTAATAACAGAAGTCTTCTCAGGGCGCCTTCGCTCCCCAACAGATCTTCTCAATAGCTTTATATACATCGAGGTAGACAAGAGAAAAATACGCTCAGTTACGACTGGTTCTTGGAGATTGAGGACCTTCAATAATTGCTAGCCTTTATAAACAGGTGCAATAAGTAAGATGACTATAGCCGGTAATCGTCGTGTCTTTAGACATCTTTATCTTAAACCAAGGCAAAGTCGGCCGTTATATACTTTGCACAAATTTGCGTTTAGTTTCGCAATAACCATCAAAAATTGTATTTCATTTTCATGTGAAAGCATATTTTCAACGATAATACCTACCTTCGAGAGAGAAAAAATGTCAACGAACATCGTCTGAATTCAGTAAATTTATCGTTTTGGGAATTTTATTATATTTCACCTATTTTTGTCATAAGAAGCTACAAAGGGAACTTTGGCACCAGAAAAGAGCTTACTTACCACGTGAACCGTTATACGTGATGACGTCTAAAAAATAAACCTATGTGATCCAACTTTGCTGTGCTCAAGTTTTATCCCAAATTAATAATGTGGACCACATCTCTCATTACAATATATTGAGTATAGGACCCTTTCACCAAAAGGCTTTCTATTCATGACATCGTCATAAGGAGTAGAATTCAAATAAGATACAGATGTGACCAAAACTTGGTCAAATTACCTTTTATATCAAATTGTTATTATAAACCATTTTTCACCATAAAATATGAAAAATTTGAAAATTTGACATTTTTGTCACATAAGGGCTTCTATTTTATGAGATCTCTTATATCATCCCAAAAATAGACGTACGTAGTGTAAACTCGGTAAAGTTGATTTCTATATCAACGTATTGTATGGGGAGTTTCTTACCATGTGGGAGTTCTATTTTTCTAAGAATGGGTATATGAGATGGAGTTCAAAAAAAAGGTCTATCCAATACAAATGTTTCACATCAATTTAGAATCCCATAATACTAATACTCAGCGACTTTTATCGAGAAGTTTCTTCTATTAAGATAGCACTTTTTGAAATATTTTAAGTGAAATTTGATACAGTGACGCATTTTGACCCAGAGACGAACGCTATTTAAAATGGTTTGGATAGGTTTTCGACCGCTCACTATACATCACCCCTTTTTGAAATGTCATTATATGGAAAAAATTATAGTTTTCAAAATTTCTCGGCAATATTAACTAAGTAATAGTATTTCACCATCTTACTTCGGACCAGCTAAAGCGATTTTTTGAATCAACTCTCTTTGAATCTCTTTCTCTGAAGTTCATATGACAAAAAAGTCGAATTTTCAATGCTTCCATCATGAAGTGTCACATCGTAACAGCAATTTAAGATAAAACAAGTGAGAATTTAAATTCGGTCGGACCTGAATCTTTCTTACCAATCGCAGTTATCCTAAAAAGTACAAAAGAAGTAAAAGAACAAAATTTTCATCCGCTATAATAGGGAGAGGGCGTAGCTAATTTCTTCTATTTTTAAAAATAAAGGTTTTTGTCGTAAAGGCATGTGGGCGTTGTGGGCGTGTCCTTTGAAAAGTTTGGGTTAATTCAAATTTCTTTTGCAAATTTGTAGGCAATGTCTTCACTTTCGCTAACGCGAGAATGTGCAAACAGGCAGATGGACAGGCGAACAATCGGACATATTTAGGTGTATTCCGAACTTAAAACTGGCGAAGAATTTGTGTACTTTAAGGGATTTTTGAAAGTTGTTCCAACGTTTCTGCCAAATTTGAAGTCGTTAGCTTCATTTTTACAGCCAGCAAAAACTTTGCAACAGATATTACCCAGACGGACAAACTTGCAGATAGACAGATTTATTATTTTACAGAGCATGAAAATTTAGTTCTCTTTCTTTTTTTTATGATCGTGGTGATGGTTATAAAAGATTCGGTCACGACCGAATATATCGTAATTTTCTTACTTGTTATGTCTTGTAGCTTATAAGCGGTATGCAAAAAATCCGCAGATTAGAGATGTTCGTAGTTTATGTTGTGCTGTAGAAGTGTTCTTTGACCGATTTGTTCTCTTTTCAATAGAGATGTGCCTGCAAGACAGATATGATCTGAAGCCGATATTTTAACTTTTATGACTAGGGGAACAGTTACAATAGATGGATTGATCGGCGAAGTTGCTTAGATGTTTCTAAAACATCCTTCTAGTTATTGCAAACCTTCCCACAAAATGATTATATCAACCAACCTCTTGGCGGTAGAACAGTATAAAATTATCAGTCGTGATTATCGTTACTTGAATGTAATCGGACTGCAGATAACAAGCTAAATTGTAGTAAGAATATTTATTCGAATATGTTTAATATTTCAATCTATCGACACTCTGACATCAATACAATTAAACTAAAATATAAATTTTTATACACTTATGTAATGCTTGCACTGCCATCATGCTTAAAATCATTCTACACCTTCTTAAACCAGTGCCTTCTTATTATTATTATTTTTAAGGCACTTTGGTTTATAAAACCTCTTGTTTACGTTGACACAATAAATTAACAGCACTTTCTAAACCGATCTGCGTACCATGTGCTTACTTGTTCTAATTATTATGGCAAACATACTTAATATCAGAATACATTCTTACTTTACCATCACGCATAAGCTGTTGGAACATTTAAGTCATTTTAAATCCAACAATCGTTAAAAGAAGAAGACAAAGTTCAATGTTAACGTTTAAGAAAGAATTTCTAGTTCTAACTTTAATGCAATTAATTCATTTTAATCAAACGGCACTTTTCTATCCGTCTAACAGCGCTTACGGTGTAAGTTTTCAACGAGTTTCTATTTAAAATAATCATAACAATAATAATAGTCAGCCATTTTAATAAACGTTTTGTGGCTTATTGTTGTTGGTAAAGCTTTTTGCTGCGATTGCTGTACCACTGGATTTACCGCATCGCAATGTTTTTGTGTCATATAATTTTGAAGCTAATTATAATTTACCACAAAACTGGGGATTACCACCATATGCGGTAAGGTTTAGTAGGAATAATTAAAAATTTATTAAATAATTAAATAAATAAAAATTTAAAACAATTAAAATTTTAAAAAAACACTACAAAATTACTCGCAAGACTAATCTAGCGGATGAAGACCTGTTTGACGATAACGCCCGGCATCTGAGTGATGATGACAAGTGCGGCAACTGCACCGATAATCGCGGAGAGAAGATCTTAAAAAATTCTACTGAAATTTTCAACAAGAACGTAACGCAAACGCGTACCGAACGTAACATCATACCGTCATTGCTAACTCGTACCCACTTCTATCAGATACTCGTCGATAAATTTACAAAGTATGTATTATAAGCGTATTAAAGGGAAAATCTTTCCGTTCTGTAATCGATTTTCTTTCAGTTTTGGTTTTCAAGGTGAACCGTGTTTGCTACGTTTAATTTGTGAGACAAACTCTTCCGAATTAGGTAACGTGAACGGTATCTTAGGCAATGTAATGCACGTGATATTTTCGTGAGTTGAAAAATTTCAGTCATGTCTGTGGGTGTGTGATCAGTAAATAACGATCTCTTTCAAAGGCCTTCGACATCGCAGGACGAAAACCTACCTACAAAGTACCATCGAGCTGAAATCGATGGCTTGGATGATCAATGCGAACGCTATGCGGAATTGTGTCAGGAAAATATACTGGATTTTGTATCCATACCTATGCATAAGATTATTGAAAACGTTTTAAAAGAAAAATGAGAAAAATGAAAGAAAATCACTCAGATCTTAATACAATTTGCTAACAATGGGAAAAGCGATTAAAATTTCACGATTGGGGTAGAGTTTACTCGCTTACCATTTCAAAGGATCGAATTTCTCCATCAAGTCTAAAAATAGTTCCAAAGTAATTGAATAAATAAATGTGGTAGGAGAAATTGTTTACCTTTGTCTACAGCGGGCTCGCGTTCTACCGAACTTTGTTTTTAATAACTGTATGCCTATCATCGCCAATGCATAACATGTAGCGATGCCTCGTCAAAATCGGATAATTCCAATTTCAAAAAAATTTTCTGTATCCATTTTCAAGAAATTATTTACTTAATTGAGCGCTAACGCAGGGTAAAATAGAATGAAGAGCCCTATGATCAATAATTTAGGAACAATTTGCTTTGAAGTTTAGTGAACGCTATAGGTGGTTTGTTCAAAAAAAAAAGTTGTTTGATTTTCGATTTTTTTTTTTTTTTTGCTTGTCATGTTAGTATTTATGTTCTCAAGGTTTATTGATCAGTCATTTTGCATTTTTGGTTTGATTTTGATAAATATAAAGGTTAGACTGGTTTTGTCTTACTTGGCGATATTTTGCTCTTGAAAGAACATGATCAAAGAATCTGCATTAAATTAACTTACGTAAAATGTGGGCTGAAGCAGTTGGCGAGTCTCCTTTGAATAACAAAGAAAAATATTTACAAGAGGTATGAGCTCTTCACGAGGATATGTTGATGGCGATGGCCATCCTGAGTATCCCAGTACATCAAGAAGCTATAAAAATGTTTAAGCAGTGAAGAAAATTGCTATGGTGTAGTGTACTGGTAGGCTCTTGCCATGCAATTTTTTCGAATAGTTTAGGCGTATTTCTGTCACGTTTGCGGCTATAAAAATGGAATCACATTAGCTTGAGGCTATTAAAAAGCGTATTTCAGATGAGCTCCGGGAGGAGAAAAAGGGCAAGCGCAGGTGTTTTACATCTAAGAGAGGTTATTGTCATGGAGCAAAATAGATGTTGATAAGTAACTAGTTCTCGAGAAAAATTAAGTGTTTTCTCTCAACAACTCCCGGTAGCAAGTAAGAAAATAAAATATCTTTTTTCATCGCAGAGATAGCAAGTAATAAATATTAAAATTTTAAGCGATTCCTGATAACCAATTTTGAAAAGTTTGCAACGCTTGACAGTAAAGAAATAGTACAGCGAAGTGGAATATACGGTCACAAAATTAAAAACGTGTTATCAGTTTAATAAGCTACGTCTCAGACAGCACCGACCTATACACAATCAACTCTTTTTTTTTACACGGCTTTTTATACTCGAATTTTGTAATAATAGGATTCATCAATAAGAACAAATAGACTTTTTTTATACGCATTTTTTGTTCTAGCATGAATACCAAAACAATCTCTTTTTAATCGTAATTTTGAAAGTGGCTTAGTGCTAGACATATCTACAGATGACAGCATTTAAGGTCCAGTCGGTAATAAATGTGCACGATTGCTATTAAGTAGCAATGAATAGTTGTAAAATAGATTTTTATTCTTAATATCAATTTCAATTTTTATACCCACCACTGTACGCATACCGGGAGAAGATAAACATAAAACCCTAAAGATATGGATACCAAGTTGTACTGAGTTCGTGGTGACTGAACTTCCTGCATGGAAATGCATTTTGACTTAGTATGAATCATTGCAAAATCACACTGATAGGCTCAAGCAATTCCGAAAGAATGATGAAACGCTAAAACATATTATTTTCATGAAAATTGAAAAAATACTATGGAAAATTTATATAAAATATTGATGTCTAAATAAAGTTTTCACTTCCGTGATTTTTAAGCATATTTTCCAACACGTTCAGATCTATATCGTAACCATTTTCACATTCTTCTTTCTCAATATTAAAATAAAAATTTTGTTTTTTTTTTGTATATAGAAAAAAAGAAAAAGCGTTAATGATAGACTAGTTGCTGTCGAAAAGATCTGTAGTTGATAACAAGGGGTGTGAAATCCCATAAAAAGCACAAAATTTTCAAGTAAACATTATACAATTATAAATATATGCATATAAACAGGTACACAGGTATATATATACATATATATATATATATATGAACACTTATGCGTGCACATGTATGTTAACAAGCATATGTAGAGGTTCGCAAATAAATGATGAATGAATGTTCTGCTTTCCTCGGTTATGGAATCAATATGTCCGGTTATAAATTCTGGTGGCCTTAATGGCGGTTCACTCATTAAAACTTTTTACAAATTGGTGCCAGCGATTTGTTCCTCCATCAACGCAACATCTATATATATATATATATATATATATATATATAAATAAGAAAGAAAAGAAAAAACAATACAAACAACAACAACTTCTGTAAAGGCTGAGATTCTGCACTAAGTTAAAATTAAACGTTTTGTTGTTATAGCTTTGTGTAAACGCACATACAGCCGTACTTAATGCATTGCTACAATTTCAAAAAGAGTGCGTCAACACTTCCTCACTGCATAAGAACTCGTGCGAGACTGAGTAGAAAACTAAAAACTAATCAAAACTATATAACGTTGTGTTGATACATCTCTGTGAAAATGCACATACAACCTTAGTTTAAAGACCTGTTGCATGATTGAGAACGAATATACGCTTATTCTCTAAAGTCGTACAATACATGCAAAATTCTTGATAATTGTAACAGTTGTGTGTTGTTGGCACCCTCCAGCTCGGAAAAATGAAGGTATCAAGTTCAAATTTGGTAGAGACATTGTAAATTTTTGCACGCAGATTGGTTTTGAAAACGGTCCAACTTGGTCGGAGCAGAAGCTCACAGTGGATCGTAAATTAAGCGCTATTCCATTTTTTTAAGAAAAATTTTTGGGTTTTTGTTCGTTACTCGGAAATTATTATTAATTGGACGACTGAAATTTTCCATATTTACTTTAAGAAACACTCGCTGTAAGATGGGGGTATGCTCACCCAAAAGATAACTTCAGAGACACTTTAAAGTACATGTGTACTTGATCGGCGAGAAATTCTGAGTTGATTTAGCTATGTCGGTCCGGCTGTGTAGTGTGTGTTGTTGGCGTTCTCCTGGTCGCAAATATGAAGATACAGATTTGAAATTTGGTAGAAACACTTGAAGCTCCTGCACGCAGTTTGGTATTGAAAATGAGGAAAATCGGTCGGAGCGGAAGCGCGATGTGTAACGTAAGCTGGACGCAATTCTGTTTTTTTAACAAACATTTTTGGATTTTTGCTCGTTACTGGGAAATTTTCCACATTTACTTTACGAAGCACTCTACCCCTTACGTGCAAAAATGGAAAATATCTGCCATGCTCACACAATGTTAGAAGTGATTAAATTTAGTTTTTTTCACTTTTTTGTTTTTTTACGCTTATTTATCACAAGGCTAACAAGACCGAATGTTTAAAACTATTTTGTACAATTAGAATATATTATCTGCTTAAAAATGGATTAATTTTAAAATGAATATGGTGGACATCCCGACAACTTTTTTCTTAATAACACTAGCGATATGGGTGTCAAATAAAAGAATTTGTAGAGTAGAATGCAAAAAACGTAGTGGTGGTTATGCGAGATTCGACCCCGGTCGAATATCATGTTCTTACTTTTTACATATCGAGCTTATAGACACAATTTTTGCTGTACACTAGTTCTAATTGTTTTTTTTTTTACAATAAAAATGAATTGTTTTTGTTTTATACGTAATATGATTCATTATTACGTTTTTTGGGAAAATAGAGTTTTCTTATTGTAAACAATTTTTTTAAAGCTGTAGAACATAACCTCAAATTCACGATAAGTTGCATGTGTTTCTTTGTCATTTTTTTTTTTTTTTTTGTAAGACTTTCTAAGGAACGTATCTAACGAGCAAAGAAAGGGTTAAGTGCATTTATGGCACCACATTTAACCCCATTTAGAAAACCGTTGAAGTCCTCGATTATTAACTCATTCCATTAACCGCGACTTTTAGTCTTAAGTTTGGAAGAAGAAAGCGTAGAAAAACAGTTCAAACTTTATTTATTTATTTGATTTCATTTGAAGCGATTCTTTGTCAAACAAGAGTAAAACAGTTTCGATTACCGAACCAATGTAGTCAACATCTCAAATAGCGAGGCATAACGAGACATTCGAAACAATGCTTTAGATACTTTCAATTTCGTGTCATTGTATTAAATTTGTGACCAGTCATCGTACTAGCTCGGACTATTTCGGACTACAAGTGCATAAATCAATTTTTTGGGATTAATTTATCGAACTCCTTCATAGTTATTAATAATTTTTTTTTGAAAATAACGGTTGATTGTTAGCAACACGAATACTGCTTAACCATTAGTGTAACATCGCACTTAGACTTCATTAATGTTTCTTGCTTTCTTACTATCAAAAAGGATGTAAATAAATAAAGTGAAAAACAATATTTATTCTAGACTTAAATGAAGAAATATTTGAAACCATTCAAAAACACAAAACATTTACAGAAAAGTTGTTAACTTAATTATTTATGTTGGCGCATTTTACGTTCTTGCCAGGTGGCAAATTTTGAATTGGCAGCCTGCAATAAGCGATTTAGATGCTGCGTTAAAGTACCGCCTAATGGTGAGAGCTTTTGCAAAGCCCGATCCTAAAAACAGCATATATAAAACATTTTTATTTTTTTCATCATGCAAGGTATTCAACAAACCTCAAAGGGCTTGAGTTTAGCCATTTTAAAGCGTTGCAAAGCCTCATGCATGTGCAAGGCTTTGGCTTCAAGTTCTTGCGTGGTGGGTGGAAAGCAACGCCAGAAGTGTTTCAGTAACTCCGACAGGGCGAGATACAGATTACGTAGATCTTTTTCAAATTCTTGAGGAACCAATTCTATAAATTTCCATATCAAATGCAATTAAAAAGACATTAAACACACTTCTCATTTACATACGTGCTCCACTTTGCTCTTGAAAACCTCTCATTAAAGCGCCCCCGGGACTTAATTCACCCAAAGCGTTTACAGCTGCCGTTGAACTGACTAAAATTTTATGAGGTACTCGTTGATTCCAATTCTCTGTGGACTGTATTAATCGATATTGTATGTCTTCCATACGTCTAGGGTCTTCGTACATGTCGTAATTAGTGGTGGGCATTGGCCCGTATAAGTAACGCTCCACTTTGGCTAAATTAATTTGTTGTGGCTTTTTAGCATCGTTTAAAGCGTTACTGTTCGCGGTTTCTGTATCTAACAACGGGTCACCCAAGTCGTCGTAGTGTATTTTCTCTATGATTCTTTGCTTTTTGGCTGGATTTTCCGTACAATCCCCATTCATATCACCGTTTTGTAAATTATCTTTATGTCTCGTTTTCTCCGCACTACCGTCTTTTTCTTTGGTTGATTTATTACCCGTAGAACCACCGCTACTAGTAGCTTTGGCATTGGCAGCATTAACATCTGTACAGGTTTTCAGAACCATTATCGAATGTTGATTGAAACGTTTAATCATATTTTGATGAACAATATTCCCACTATTGACGGCGGTACGATCTCCGGAAACACTACAGAATCCTTCTTCGAGAGGAACATCTTCAAATTGTTTTAGGTCAAGCAATGGATCACCAGCTCCTTGCTGCACAGCCGCCTTTAATGTTTGATCATCAATTTTACCGCATTCGGCGAATATGTCTTTTGTACCAGCGGTAATGCGATCTCGATGGAAATAATGCGATTGAAAAAATTTCGTCCAAAAAGCGGCCTCAGTCATTTTGGCTGGAACATTCTCTTGATGCTTTCGTTTAACGGCGGGATAAGTTTTAAAAATGCAATGAATAATGTCGTCAGTCAGATTATATTTTAAACCATTGCAACCATCAGTTTGAGGTTTAATATCGGCTAAGAAAGCGCCGGAAACACCTAAATACACGTGTCGATACACTGCTTTAAAATTAAGTCCACAAAGGCATCCCTTTAAAACTTACCTATGTTTTGTTTCTTATTCACCTTTTTTAAGGCATGTTCTTTAGCGTGAGTATTCCAAAACTCCTCGCTGGTTATAACTTGCGTTGTCACCAAATCTTTGTAAAGTTGCAACAAATGAGGATTTTCCGACAATATACGATTCTTTTCCTCCAGCTCTTTGTCCACTTTACGTTTAAAATTTGGCAACAATTGTTGCAGTAACTCTTTAACCTTATCACGATCGGCTAACATGGCCTGTTGACCATCACGATTAACGAAATGGAATGTTGAGGTATTGCCGTCATGGAGAACAACTTGTAATTGAACTTTAGGTTTACCTTCCGGTGATATTTTCTGTGCTATAAAACAAACTAATAGAACCGGTTCCATAAATCATATAAAAAGGCACAAACTTTTTATATCTGCAAAACGATGCGAAACTGCGACGGTATCACGATTTTCTGCCATCCATGCCAGCCGTGCATTCATTACATATAAGGTGCCATCGCCCTTCTTATAACGCACTTCGCTCACCTGCAGCATCACATCTTCGCTACTGGTGGTCATTTTCGTCTTTTTTACAATTATTATTTCAAGTGTTTTGTGGTTCAAAAAATTGGTTGATAGCAAGAGGTAGCAAATTTTGCGATTACTTAATTATTTACTTATATTTATATTAACGGTTGAATCGTCGTTATATGTTATTTAAATTGTTTTTAAAATAAGAAAAAGAACTTCGAGGCCACTCCAAACACGTTAATTTCTTGGTCACCAGGAAAAACAACTAAGAAGTGTCAAAATAACATATTTATTATCGCATATCGCTGTTATGTACAGCAAATATATTTTACTCTCAGATTCAGCTTGACAGCTGTCATTCTACATGAATGCCGCTTCAGCAATAGAGGTTTGATTTTTAATAAGCCAAATTAGAAACATAATGGAAATAAAACACGTCACTCCGCAAGTTGCATTTTTAAATCTCTTTTAGAGCCGATAGCTTGTGTTGCTAGTGCTCAATGTCTTTTTTTAGTCTAAGAATTCATTTCATTAGTCTAAAATTAAAATAATAATAATAATAATAATAATAAATCTCTTTTAGCCAACGCTATCACAAATAAATTACATAGCGATCAAGAATTACAAAAAAAATTGCAAGAAAATGTTTTTTTTTATGAAAATGTCTCGTTTGCTTTAGATCAGTGCTAGTTTCTTTTAGCTCCATTCATGGGCTAGGTATTAACTTATGAGGATAACTAAAGAAAACAATGTCAAAACTATGGTATTCCAACGTTAACATAATATATGATTAAACAGACAAAAAATAGTAAAAAGTTTTCATTATTATTCTCTTTTAACAAACTCATATAAAATTTTTGCAGAAGAGGCATTTTTAACTTGACTTCACTTTTGCAAATCATATGATTTCTTTAATTTCACAACATACATAAGTAAAATCGCAATTGAAAATAGATATAAAATTCACATAATAAACTACAAATGGAAATATACATTATTTGCATTTTCATCTAAAAATTATTAAATAAAATAAATCTTTCTCTGCTTCGTCCTAGTTTCTTTTCAATGACTATTTTCATATCGTCCAAAAAATTGTTCTTTCTCCGCTCCTTGTTGTTTAATAAATAACACCTGCTTTTTATTTGTTTGCTGGTTTACGTGAGGTGAAACTTGGCATCACTTGTACATTCTGTATCATACAAGGACGGCTTGCCGCTTTTTGTATCATGCTTTAACTGTTAGTATAAAAGTGAACAAGTACAATAACTATGTATATATATATATATATATATATATAAATAGCTTGTATTGCGTGTTGTATTAAAACGAATTTTTTACAAACTTTTTAAGATTTCTTCTTGTTTTGCAACTGTCAGGCGAACCAGTGATGTATATATGAAAAGAAACCAAAATTAATGGTTAATATTTCAGGCTTTAAAGGGTTTATTTGCATTAAAAGAGAAAATGAAATTAAACTATGTTGATGCTTTATTAAATGTATTCTGCTTTAGGACATTTTTCCAAGAAATTTTAGACTTCATTTGTTTTTGATATACTTAACGCTTATGTAAACAAAATCTAGTCTAATTTTTTAAATCATATAGGTTTGGAAAAGCAATCATTGTCTTCAACGCCTTAAAGTTATTCGTTCGTTTATTGTTGGTCCGCGTATTTATTTGTTCCGTCTACAGGTTGCAATTGTTGAGAAATTTGGTACACTAATGTGTTTTAGCTCAAAGACGTGTGTTATTGCAAATAGGTTGGATCGAACATTTTTACAACTCGTCACATAAAGCCCCATTTGAAAAAAATCTTGATATGAAATAAATTATGACTTTTATATCTAGCAACGAAGGGTGGGTGTACATTTATTTTGTACATTTATTTGAGTAATTAAATGAGCGGGCCTGAAATCCATTTCAATTCGTAAGCATCTGAGAGTAATTAAATCAGCGAGCCTGAAATCCACCGAACATTTTATTTATTTATCAGAATATTCACATTCATATACACACTTATCATTTTCGTCGCACTTTACTCCGAGTACTAGCGAAAAGGCAAAAATGATGTTCAAGCAGGAAAAAGTTATTGGGTACTTACGGAGGCGGCGAATAAATAGAACGACAGTGGTAAAAATGGTTTGAAAATTTTATTTCGTCGCTTTTCCATCACGTTCTGGAAGACCAGTAGGAACTCATAAAGACAAAATAAAGGCGTTAATAGAAGCAAACCGCCGAGTAAGAACTCGTCAGTCAAAAGAAAAATGAAATTTCTTTCCGAACCGCTCAGTATATTCTTAATCAGCAAAATATTCTGGATCGACTTAAGCATGTACTCCTGCCAATCCCGCTTACATAAATATCCTCTTTGCTGCAAGAAATGAAGACATCTGGTTCATCTTTGGGAGAAAACATTGGGAGTTTTTGCATGCAGACTGATTGCAAGTGGATGAAAACGACCAAAAGATACGCCCGCAATACTATTTGAACTGAGAATGTCTTTGTTTTCAAAAGCGAAAAAATTTAATTTATCGCTCATTAATCGAATTCTACAACAGATATCACGATAAAAATCTCCACGTATATTCTATTGGTGGTCTCACGGTGTCTCATATTATAGTAACATATCATAGCTCACGCAGGTCTACTTATTGGATCCCACCCCATGCAAGCAACTCTTAAAAAATATATACGATGTAGGCCTCTAGATGCCAACACACGGCAGCATTTTATAACAGAAACAGTTGAAAAAGAATAGGATTTTTGGGAATAACATCAACTTTCCTAAGCTCCCATGAACAGCATGTTCCTACAGGTAAAAGGTTAAAATTGCCCTACATCACTTACGGTACAGGGCATATTAAATTAAAGCGGATGTATGTAACACCCAGAAAGGTTTAGGATAGACCCATCTTTTATTATACCGATCGATTTGAAATCATAATTTGAATCGATCTAAGCCTGTCTTTCCGTCTATCCATCTCTTTCCGTCCATGTAAATTTGTGTTCAAGCTACCGGCGGCAATTTTTGGGATATTTTGATGAAATTTGGTACAGTGATGTGTTTCGTTTTAAGGACGAATGCTATTGAAACTGATGCGGATCGGTCCACTTTTTCGACAACTCCCCAAATAACGCCCTATTCAAAATTTCTCGGCAAGTGCGGCTAAGTAGCAGTATTTCGGCCCTTTACTATGGTAAGACAACTTTCGACCGGCGGGGGAAAATTTAGAACCCCCTCTCATATAACGAAAACTGAAGTTCATACGACAAAAAGTTATAATTTTCAATGCTTCATGATGAAAATTACATCACAATACTAATTTAACGTAACAAAGTTGACTGTACCCAATTTGGACCATCTCGGCCTATTTTTCGGATCTTAGCCTAATAACCGATGTAAGGTTCTAATATGTGGTGAAGGAAATTGAGCCATAATAGTAATTTCATACAACAGTTAAGTCTACAAAATTTGGAACATCCACGCCTATTTTTGGACACTACCTCATGTAAGAATTAGACTTGTACCACATTAGGTTGCGTTTTTATAAAGAAAAAGATACAATTCTTGCTTTTCGTAATAAAAATTGTTATAGAGAATGTGGTGTAGAGTATTTAAATGTCAGCCTTACCCGACTATAATGTCTTACATGTCTACCCTACTGCCTATACCAAAGCAAATAACAAATGCTCTCTATGCCATTCCCTGCAAAAGAGTTATAAAAACACATGAGTTTTGCAAAAGTAAAATATTTGCAAATTTATTTTTTTCAGTTTTTTCGAAATAAAAAACTTATAATTAAAATTGAGAAAATTTACATAAATAAAAGTACTAATGTTTACAATTTGTTTGAAATGCAATAAAATGAAAGACTTAAACTAGAGTTACTTATGAGAAGAAATGGAAACTATTTCGTATTCCAATGAAATGAATTGTAAGGGCCATAATTAACCTCCATTGGCGCTTCATTACCTTGGAATTTTGTCAATTTAAAAACACCTCAATATAAAATATATTCTTTTAAAAAGTTAGTTTCGTAAATATCTCGATTTGAACTCTAGTTAAGTGATAGTTGGAGCTAAGTAAGCCTTTATGTGCGGAGGTTTGCATAACATCAAAGCGTGCACTTAACTTAATATAAGAGAGACTGACGTGCCATGTAATTTATGTAGGTTTGTGGTTCTCTGTATAAAAATTTTGAGAAATATCCAACACAAATACTTGACGTGTCAATTGTACGAATGGCGTTTGCGGTAGCCATCGTTGTACAATGCAATAAGCTTTACGAAGCTTTAATGAATGTTTTGAATAATTTTTGCCGCCCAGAAACATTCATAAAAACATACAGTTTCTAGCTATAGAAATATAAAGATATTTTAAAACTTGCTTTCCAGTCTTTCGAAAAAATTTAAAAGTTTCTCAAAAAGCAAAAAAAAAAAACTTTTGAGAAACTTCTTCAATTCTTGGAAAAGGCTTTCAGTTAAATTTTTAAATATCTAAATAATTGTCATAGCAATTAGACCAGAATGTCTTTAGAATCCTTCAGGGCGACGGGGGGTTTTTTGCTGTATTTAAAAAAAGTTTGAACCCACGAAAAATTACTTATCTAAGAAAAATGAGTAATATATAAAATTTTCAAAAATAAAAATTTTTACAAAATTTTCAAAAATTAAAATTTATACAAAATTCCGAAAAATAAAAATTTTTACAAAATTTTGCAAAATAGTAATTTTTACAAAAAATTTTGCAGAATAGAAATTTTTAGAAAATTTTATATTTTACTAAAATCTCATTAAATTATAAGCGAAATTTTTCGTGGAAATTCAATAAACTTTAAAAAAATACAACGGGTTTTGTGTAATCGCATAATTGTTAAAGCTATCTTATACCGTAAGAGAAAGTAAATCAAGCGAGAGATCTTTCAACACATGCAAGAGTGAAATATTCTCTTAAGGAGAATTTCTTCTCAAGAGTACAAATCACCTCTAGCATGTGCTCAAGACATCTCGTCGTTTATTTCAATTTCGGTTAAAATAGCCAAACAATCATACATCATACACTTGCACAAAATATTTATATAAATTGTTCGAATTGATCGAAATATCATCATATCCAGGACAGAGCAGAGAAAAATAATTTCTAACATTGTTTTGGAACCACCGACACCGCCACAAACAGTGTAGGGGTTGTAAAGAAATTTCCATTATTGTTGTTAAAAATCATTTTTCTATAGCAATGTTGGAGGGTTTGGCGTTCATATCCAATAGCCGTGCTTAGGAGCTCAGCGTTTAGAAAAAAAAAAAGAAATTATACATTCTTACCCCATCCTAAATGATTTAGGAAACAATTTAAAATGCTTACGTTTGAAAAAAAAATTAAAAAACTTTTTTTCTAAACAAAAGCATAAAAAATCTTTCCTAAAGCACTTAATTTGGATATAAGAGAGTATTTGAGTAATTTTACCGAAAATTATTATAAATTACGCAGCGAAAAATATTAACCTAAGAGAGTAACCGTTTTTGCCATCTTTGAGGTGTAGAGAAAATGACGTAGAAAACAATCGCTCTCTCAAGGTGACATCATATTTTAAAGTTATTGTTATGCTGTTATTGTTGTTGTGTTCCTTTCGTTTAGCAATGACTTAGTCATCACCAGCATTTTCTTCCTTGTTACGTTTACGGCATTGATCCTGAGTATGGCCACGGAAGTTGCAATATGTGCACCGTTTTGTGCGTTTAGAACCTTTTATGCAACCATCGGCATTGGCTTCACTCTCCAAATTATTATGCTCTATAATGCGCCCCTTTTCCAGTAAATCTTTAAACGTCTTGACATCGTGGCGTGCAATATGTTTACGATATTTGATATTGACAAGACCGTAAATAAAGTCCAATTCAGTCTCCTCATCATGACGATCCTCTGGCAGCTGCGATAGCAGAGCACGTTTCTGGCATACAAAAGTATCGATAGCGGCTTTATCGTCTTGTTTCTTTTCAAAAATTTCCATATACACCTGATAAGCCGGCTTGGTGGGAGAGAAATGTTCACGTATCAGTGATAAAACATCATTCCATGTTTTAGCTTCTTTTCGAACACCTTGCCACCAAGTCGATGCCAAACCGTAGAATAATAGGGAAACACCTTTCAAAGCATCTTCATCGCTAATCGATTCAACTTCTTTATACGTAACAATCGAAGTAATAAATTCCTCAACGGCTTCATGATCCCGTTGACCACCAAAACGGGAAATGCAATTACTAAAGCTACCTTTCGATTTGGGTGCTACAGTTGAACCGGCCGCTCCAGCGGCAGCTATAGCAGACGTACGTACAGCTTCAATCAATTGTTGCAATTGTTCGGTAGTCATTTGTACAGTTTGAGCCATTTTTAAGGAAGTTCTTCTAGTTGGACACACTCAAGAAATCACTTTACAGAATATGCAGCAGATTTTAAAAGTTTTTTTTTTTTTTTTTAGAAAGTTCCTTTTAACAAAGCCAAATTTCACTGGCGAATGTCTTAAATTAAAAATCAGGAACTATTATTTAAAATGGTCGTTGCGTTCATTAAATCTCGCAGTAGACTGAATTTTCAATTCATATGCGCCGGTTTATATACTCTCTAGCTCTTCGACCGAGAGTTAATGGCAAATGATTCATATTGTGAAATTATTCTAGATGAGAGTGCAAATAAAATAAGAGACAAATTGGACTTTAGCATGCGTCGAATTTTTAATATCCTCCGTTTGAGGAGGAATTAACTGAAAATGAAGAGTCCAAATTGGAATTTTTTTGCAATCTCAAACCTACCCACCGTATCTAAGTTCTTCATTTTCAAGTCAAACGTTCACAGACTACACTACTTCTTCCGTCCAATCGTCTCTTCCCCAATAACCCAATAAAATAAAAGAATAAAATAATTCCACGAAGTACCAGACCGAAAATTAATTCCAGGAAGTTGTGTCAAACTGAAATGAAACTGAAAAGTAATTCCATGAATTTATACCAAACCCAATAACCTATGCAACCGCCGTGGACGCATACATAGAAACCATCCCCTGATTCCAACATCATCGAAAAAAGTTTGTTACCTTAGACAGTTGAATAAATTAATTTAAAATATCGTGCAAAAGATTTTCGGTCCTATGCATTTCAAGGCAAATGACGCAACTAAGATACTAAAATACTTCTGATAGTGTAAACATTATTTGAGAGAACTGAGAGAGAGAATTTGCGTTAATAAAATCTCTCTCTAGAATGATAACTTGACCAGTTTTTTTATGCACACATGCACATACAGTTAGTTTAAGTACATAAAGCAGATATTTTTCATGGAAAATTGAATAAAATTCGCTACGTAGGCAAAAGGATAAATGCCCGGATTGATATGAGATGTCCAAAGTATTCCAATATCAACAAGATATTGAATAAAGTCTTCTTCTCATACTAAGGTAAAAGAATTAATTCGATGTAGCATGAATTCTGTTTGATCCAAATAGATCATTTCACAATCGCATGAAATTCCTTGACTTGGATAACCAACAACATAGAGTTTCTGTTCCGAGATTTTTTACAACGAATTAAAGAAAAGCAATATATTGGGAAAGCTAGAGCACGCCGGAGTTGAGTTTCATGTATTTAACATTCTTCATGTAGCGATTCGATGAAATCTAATATTACTATCATGTTTACACATGCAATCGCAGTGGTTAGCTATTCTAAGAATTCCATTGCAAAATATTGCGAAATTTTCTATTTTTAATCAATTGATTTCTATTTTTTTATTTTTTTTATTTTTAAAGTTATATTGTACGCAAACATTTAAAGTTAAAGATAATAAATTGAGAGTCATGTAAAAGTGGTTCCAGGAAGCCACAATGCGCCCACAATTAACAGTAAATGTTATGATTTTAATATATTTAAAATTATATCTATATATTAGAGGTAAAAATACATTCGTTCGGTTTATTAATAAAATTAAATTGTATTTAAAATATAATTGCTAAAAAGCTTAATAGGGTAAACGTCTATCATCATTATCTATACTCTTTTACCATTTATCAGAGAGCTTACAGACATCGGTTTGGAGGCGAAATAGGTATTGAGCCACTTGCCCACATTTTCAATTTCTGCGCCTCCATTGATCTGAGAATACCGCGTTGTGCGAAGAAATTAAACTGAGAATTATTTACTTCTTTGTTTTCACGGGAGACGGACGGACGTATGCGAATCTTCGTCGCGGGAGGTACGTTTTGCTAAGCATCCAATTTCAGCGGAAAGAATTTACCTTTTACCCGCATTGTGTAGATCAATATAGCAACAACTTTAGGTAAAAAGAAATCGGAAATATATAGAGTGACTCCCCTTGCTTACTTCCAAGTAATTTATTTTAACATATCAAAGGTGAAATACCAATTCACCCGAGTGACCGATGGCAAAGAATCTCGACTAATCATTCAATGGTCGCACGCACTAGGCTCCGGCCTTGGCTTTCTTCTTCTCTATCCTTACTTTTCTATGACCAGCATCCTATTACACAAATAGGGTATGTCTCCTGATTGATATATCCACAGGAATTTATAAGAACTTGTTGTCGTTGTGGGTTCGACTATATGACCTTGAATATACATATGATAATACGCAATGAATTACAAAAGAAAAATAGATTTGAATATGGAGATGAAAGCCACTAGGATTGGGAGCCCTTTCGCAGATAATCTATTTACTCTACTTAAGCAGCTAAGAAAGCTGGGGTCAATCAACTTAAGAGTATTGTTATCATTATAATAAATTGCAGGACTAAAAGTAAGTTGAGACTTAGCTCATCGAAGTAAGAAGAAGAAGAAATGTTCAAAAAAGTTGTTATTTATTATAAATGCCTTGATAGAGAGATTAACCTAAAAGCTCAGCTTTTCAGCAAGAAAGCATAATTTTCTCATATATGCAAATATACAAAAAAACTCATTTTTCTTATTTACTCATCAATTATTACATGGAAATTTTTTCTCTCAAAAATTAAATAAAACTTTATTCATTTTTTTTTTTAAAGACCAGAGGACAAATTTTTCCAAAACAAAGTCATTTCAAATGAATTAATTAATACTCTGATAAGATATCAATATCAACCTGTAACTTGTAGAGAGGCTAAGACATCAACGTATGACTAAAGAGGCAGAGAGAGAGAGAGAGAAAGAAAGAGAGCTCTCTTAGACAATTATTGTTCTTTTCGTTTCTCTTACAAGACTACAATCAAATCAATAGACAATGACTCACTCATTTGATTTGATTTTTTTTTCATTCTATTTCACAATATTTAGTAAGACGAATAAGAATGAAATTAACAAAAAAAAAAAAAAAAAAAAAACAAATTGAATTTTTCGCAACTTGTCAGTTTCTCTTTGGTGGCCGTTAAGAATAAACTTAATAATGTCGGGTAAACAGATGTCAGACGAACAATTTCGCATTTTAATCGAAACTATACGCTCTTTGGCGCCACAGTTAAAAGAGGAAAACAATGAAAGCGATTCGAAAGGTAGTTTTAGTAATTGTCCGACCCGCTTTTTCGGGCAACGAGACAACGACGCTGTGGAAGTGTTTATTGATGCTGTACAGACATATAAGGATGTAGAACATATCAATGATAAAGATGCTTTGAGAGGTTTGCCATTGCTGTTTAACGGCTTAGCGGCGACGTGGTGGAAAGGTGTACGTCGTGAAGCGAAGACATGGGAAAATGCTTTGACCTTGTTACGTGAACATTTCTCGCCTACGAAACCGGCCTATCAAATTTATATGGAAATCTTCGAAACCCAACAAAGTGATTCCCAAACTATTGATAGTTTTGTGCTAACGAAACGGGCGCTGTTAGCGAAACTGCCGGAAGGCAGACATACCGAAGAGACGGAAATTGATTTTATTTATGGTTTATTACGTTTAAAATATCGTCAAAGAATAGCACGTCACGATGTTAAAACATTTAAAGACTTATTAGAGAAGGGACGATACGTAGAGAGGCATTAAATTAGTTAATAATAATAGACAATCGTTGTAAAATATCTTTTTGTATTTAATGTAAGCAAAAGTATTGATAAGTTTATAATATATGTAAAAAACATTAAAAATTTCTTTCTATCCAAGAGGTTGTTCCATCGTAGCCTAGCGATGGATAGACGGGGAAATTAATCACTCAATGTTGAGTGCATTTTTAAATGCTCTTCTTAGATCTTTTATTTCGATCGAGCACAGTAGAAGTAAAAAATAGAATTTAGTTTCTTTAGAAACAATCGTGCAGGCGTTATACATATATATATATATATATATATGTGTATATATCGTATGCGTTCGTATATTAGGTGTTTATATCTACCACTACCGAAAGATGGAGATACATTTAATTTGTCAAAACATTGGAAAAACACACAAGAAAACTACAGGGATGCCTTGAAGTATACAAATTTTTAATCAATATCGAATTTTGAAACGATTTAAGCATGTATGACTATCCGTCTTTGTAAATTTTAGATATCGGCTTCGATTATGGCAAAAATAAACTATACATATTCTTAATCAATGTTAAATTTTAAGTCAATTCTAGCATGTCCGTCTGTCCGTCTTTACAAAATTAACATATCTGCTTCAATTTTATTGACAATATTGGAAGTCCTTGCTATAAAGCGTATATATTCTTAATTAGTCTGAAATTCTGAATCGGTAAGATTTTGCCGGCCTGTCCGTCTTTGTATAGCTAAGATATCTGTTTTCAATTTTCTTAAAAATATTTGAAATTCTTTCGGGTAACTTTCGTAATTGAAAATAAAACAAATCGGAGACAGGACTTGTTTACATTGTCACATAAACTGTTAACGCCTCTGTTTTCAAAAGCCAAAAATGAGCAGTTTTTCGCTCAGCTGTAATAATAAGAGTTCGTCTATTCTATTTGAAGGCAAAGGTGACGGTTTAAGAGCTGAAGGTGAAGGTTTAAGCATTCCTCTCCACAGGAGTTTGATTAAAAAATGTTTTTATGAAATTGATTAGAGAGAATTCAGACACTGCTCGATATCGAGTAAACTCAATCGTAATATGAATGCGTTACTTGACTCGGGAAAAATGCATTCTTTAACTAACTATTTGGTGCACGCGATGTCGACAGCTATAAACCGGGCTCTCGGTTCTATAAAATGTGCCACTAAAAGCTTTAGAAATAAAAATTTTGATCAAATTTGATTCCTTTTTATGTAAGAGTTGAATCGTAGTTGCATTAAAGACTGCTTGATTGCTTACCACGCCACGCCGATCGTTACAGCGAATCGAATTCCTTTAAAGCTCTTTTATTGTCCACAAGCTAGTGCGAGTATATATATTGGTCGAGGTTTTTATGCAATTTTGTATATACATAAATGTGTACACAGAAGGCTTTTTTCCTTTAAGGCGGTAGAATATGTGGGAAAGTATAAAAAATTTTGAAAATGCATTCTCAGAAGCAGCGAAATGAAAAGATGGCCCACCACTTAACCCAAAAGAGCAAGCAGTAAATGGGCTGCTAATTAACAGCGTTACTGCAGTGATTAACAGAACAGAAACACAGCAAGCCCGTATTAATTTTCAGGTTTGAATTTTGAACAAAATGTTGGACCATCTTGTTATTTCGTTGTCGCTGATATTACCAACATTTTTGTAATTTCTATAAAAACAATTTTATTAAAATAATTTTTTAGTTTAATTATTAATACTTTCATACATGTATATATGCAAACAATATAATTATTTAAATTTATATATATACAAATATAATTTTATATATGTTAATACATATTAGCAACGTTGTTCTTAATAGCAATATTAATAATAATAATGATATTATATATTAAAAAAAAAATTCAAATTTACTGAATTAAATAACAATTTTTTCTGTAAATTTTGATCTTAATATTCGAACAACAAAAAAGAAAAAAAAAATTAACTTAATGAAAGGCTTAGTTTATATCGAATAAATTCTTAATAATAAATAAATATAACGAAACCGAGGCCTATGCACGTATGTAACTATGTCGCCTACAATTCTTTAATAAAAGGAAAAGTGTAGTGCATAAAATGCGAACAATGACAAAAGAAAATGAATAATTCTTCTAATAGTAGCATTAAGGCAAACACATTATACTTTCATTGCATTCATCGTCCCTCGCTTTGCTTGTAACTCATTCAATAGCTAAGTTTTCTTCAAAGAGTCGAAATATCAAATGTGTTCACTATAGGTATTCGCTCTTTACCATTCAAGAGAAATTTCAATACAAAAAACTTGAAAAATTTCTCCTCGAACTGAAAATGTTTCCTCTAACAAATTGCAGTAAAGTGCGAACAAATCTTCTTAACCTAGTAAAACTAACTGTTCTTGTCATCTTGGGGAGGAGAGAAGTAGAGATGACGTAAAACATCATCGCTCATTTAAAATAACGTTATTATACTGAAGTTGTTTTTGTTGTTCCCGTGTAATGTCTTTTCTTAGGAACTGCGTAGTCTTCAGTAGTATTTTCTTCTCTCTTCCGTTTTCGACATTGATATTGATTATGACCGCGAAAATTACAATATGTGCAACGTATTGTTGTGCGTTTTGCACCTTTTACGTAACCACCACCGTTCGCTTCGCTTTCCAAATTATTATGCTCTATAATGCGCCCCTTTTCCAGTAAGTCTTTAAAGTTCTTGATATCGTGGCGTGCAATATGTTTACGATATTTAATATTAACAAGACCGTAAATAAAGTCCAATTCAGTCTCCTCATCATGACGATCGTCTGGTAGCTGCGCCAGCAGAGCACGTTTCTGGCACACAAAAGTATCGATAGCGGCTTTATCGTCTTGTTTCTTTTCAAAAATTTCCATATAAACCTGATAAGCCGGCTTGGTGGGAGAGAAATGTTCGCGTATCAGTGATAAAACATCATTCCAAGTTTTAGCCTCTTTTCGAATTCCCTGCCACCAAGTCGATGCCAAGCCGTAGAATAATAAAGGTACACCTTTCAAAGCATCTTCATCGCTAATCGATTCAACTTCTTTATACGTAACAATCGAAGTAATAAATTCCTCAACGGCTTCATGATCACGTTGACCATCAAAAGAGGCTGTACAGTTACTGAAGCTACCTTTAGATTGAGTAGATACCGTTAAACCGGCAGATGCTGTAGGATTAGAAGTGCGCACGGACTCGATCAATTGTTGCAATTGTTCGGTAGTCATTTGTATAACTTGGGCCATTTTAATAGAATCCTATTTACTTACTTATGCACACTGTAAACCCCTTTTCATTGAATCATTGATTACTCCACTTGATAACTATCAATAATATATCTCTTATAAGAGAGATTTTTTTTTTATAAGATAAGATATGATTTATATTCCCTATCAAGAAGAGAGACAGATTTTATTATTGAATGTTCTCGAATTGGTTCCCCTGCTTAAAATGATTGTGTTGTGTTAATTAAACATCGCAAGAGACTAAAATTTTCAATTCATATGCAAGCGTTTATATACGAATTATTTTCCTATTTTTTTTTTTTTTCTTTCGTTGAAAAAAAATCGTTAATAAATGCTTCATGTTGTGAAATTCAAGTAAATGAGAATGAAAAACGAAAACAAGTGCAAGCGAAATGAATTTAACGTGAGTCGAATCGTTAACGCCAATCTCTTAGATGTATTCGAAAAGCTTGCTTTGATAAGACGGAGTTGTAACTTTTCTAAATATCATGTGCTAGCTTGTCCTCGTCATCGACCTTACTTGCAGGTCAAGGCTACTCGTACTTCTTCACAATACTTTATAGACTTCTTTTATACCCTACATCACTTGTCCTGCAGGCGGTATATACATGTATGTATATTTTTTTATCGAACATTGTGGCAACGCATTGCCAACTAAAGGTACCACATCAGGATCAAAATCAGCTCGGAATCCCTTTCGCAATACGTCGAGATAAAGAATTATGGATTCTTCATACCCACCATGTCATCCTACGCTTCTCGTGCTGCCTTGGGATTAGGCGTTCTGATATCGTCTTTGTGTGGCTTTATATCGAAACATGTCTTGCAAAAAACGACCTTGGAGTACATTAACATGACCGCTAGCATATTACCTAAGATAATTGCTATTTCCAGAGATCCGATAAAAATGTTTCTCAAACATACCCTAGCCGGAGAGAAGGAAACAGCATGCTGCATGTCGTCTTTTATGCCGTAGAAAAGGTCGCATGCGTTATTTGTTTGTAAGTTGAAAAGGCACAAATAACTCGGAAATTGTCCATGACTAGCGAAAAATTGGTTTAAGAAAAATTTCCCTATGTTTTCTTGTGTTTGGCTTCGTCTTCGTTTCGGGTCGTCTTCCCATCGTTGTTGCTATTCTGTCAACATGCCCTGTCGGATAGTAGTCTTAGATCACCAGACATCGCTGACATTCCCTGCTTGCCGCTATGGATACGTAATTGCTCCTTCACTAATAGCTCGATAGGCAACATTCCTGCCAAGATCGCTACCGCTGACGTTGAAACTGTGCAGTAGGACGATAGAATTCTCAACGTGCGCACTCTTTGAACGACTCCCACCTTTCGCACAAGGTATAAGAGCATATTAAGTTTATGCGGATATTTGTAACATCCGAGAAGGAGTTGAGATAGATCCAGTTTTCGTTATTCATAATCACTTTCTGTGTCATTGTTTCTATGTGATTCAAGGAAAATGACAAATAAAATATTCCTGCTAAGGCAACCACAGCATAATTTTAAATAATAATATAATTGCAGAATGGTGAGTGATTTGCATTAAACATGGAAACGAACATACAGCAAGAATGCATACAATGCCTTAAGTAGCATTTTAAGTAATAAAAGTGAATTGATAAAATTTAAGTACATCGTAAAGACAGTATGAGAGAGAATGTGTATAGGCATTGTAAAGTCTCTTGAGCTTCAATAAGTACCTAAATGCTGACAGACCTTAACGTAGAGTACATATCGCTAGATATGTTATTTTTTGTTCGTTTCTCGTATAGAAAAAGAAAAATTGTATCTGAACTATTTTCTTTGGCATCGAAAATTCAATATGATTTGCTCAATGAAAATTACACTTGTAGTGAGTTCTCAGTTTGGAATGGAGAAAACTGAAATAGAAGTTTCGCTCTTCCATATATTAGAATGAAACAATTGCATGGTATGACTAGATTATTTAAGTATTTTAGTTGAGTTTAAACGTTTACCTGAGAGATATATTTAATGTTTCTTAAAATGCCTCATTGCAGTTTAATATAAACGCATTGCTGATATGTAATCGGGTATGTGTGCTCGAGAATTCATAGAATTATTTTTCAAAATGTGGTGATTTTGTATATTTTTATGCCCATCACCGAAGGGTGAGAGGTATATTTGTTTTGTGCGAACGTTTGCAACGCCCAGGGGGAATCATCAGATACCCCACTAAGTATCCATATTCTTGATCAACATTACATTCTAAATCAATTTAAGCATGACCGTTCGTCTGTCTGAGTGTCTGTCCGTCTTTGTAATGTTTGGTGTAAACATTATCCTGGCCGCAAATATGAAGGTTTCGATTTCAAATTTGGCACAAACATTGGAAGTTCTTGCACGCAGGTTGGAATTGAAAATGGAGTAAATCGGTGGAAGAACCCGGCCGCAGTACCATGTAAACTGAGAACACGTCTGTTTTTCAAACGAACAAAAAATTGATTTTTTGCTCATTACTCATAAACTGTAGCAGATAAATGTACAATGTTTTGAAAGCATATTCTATGGGCGCTCCTGTAGGGCCTATATAAAAATGGGACAAGGTAACTACGCCTACCCAATATTGTAGTGTATCAAAATTTAATTTTCCTTTGAATGCCTTTATAGCGCGCAGAAAAAAGCTTCAAAAACTCCATAAAGTATATAAATGCTTGGACAGTTTCAGATTTGAGTTGACTCTAAACATGCCCGTCCATTCACCTGTCCACCTGTCTGACTGCGCAACTGTGCATTATTTTTGGTAAACATTATCGAAAAACGTTATCGAAAATGAAGAGATCGCCTACAAACTTGGAAAAGAATTTGGAATTGACTTTAACGTTTCCAAGGACACGCTTACAATGCCCGCACGCGTATACAACGAAAACTTTTATTTCGAAAATAGCAAAAACCAGCCGAGTGCGCTTTCTATTAAAGGGCATGAAAATTTAGTTCTTTTATTTATTTATTTTTTGTCTTTGCTATGATAATGGTGATGGGTATAAAAAATTCGGTCCCGACCGAATATAATTTTCTTACTCGTTAATGCATTGCTGGTCTCATTCTATTTCTCGTAAAGCGGAGGAAATAAGACTCGCGATTGCAAAATTGTTGGTCGCGGGTTCGAATCCCAGTCCCAGTGGATCGCACTGCGCAAGTAGTCCATCGCTTAAATTATTCTAAAACCCACATTGAAATCAATTCCACAATATTTTTTTAATTGATGTTGAAATTCATTTAACAGACCTTGTACAACAATTAATCATCTAAAATCGGTCCTTCTGCACGTAATTTCTATAACGACTTGATCCTCAAATAATGGGTATAAATTGTTTGATAGCAACTTAAACAAGTTTAGTTCTTCATATAGCTTTTTCCAAGAATAAATTTTAAAAGTTAGTTAATATATTGATAAAATAGGCAATAACTACACCCAACTCTGTTTTTACACGGCGGATGCGTGCCTTAGAAAACCATGCGGCATATGGCAAATTTAGCGGTTTGTTCATTATCTTTAAACAAATAAGAAAATTATAGTCAGGCAAGGCCCACCATTGAGTACCGTATACTACATTGTTCAACACAATTCTTATTTTTATTATAGAATACAATAATTATATCTTATTTCGTATGAAATTTTTCAAATATTGTGGGTCAGTTTTCATCACCACATATTAAAACTTGGACTTTTCTGCCCTACAAGGGATCGATTTTCGTGAAAATCCTTACTATAGTAGGATCCAAAAAATGGACCGAGATGGTCTAAATTTGGTACAGCTAATTTTTTAATATTCAGTTACTTTTATGACACAATTTTCATCATGAAGCATTGAATATGTTTTTTTCGTATGAATGTCAGTTTTCGTTATATGAGAAGGATTGCAAAATTAGCCCCGGCCGCTTCAAAGTTTTCATACCAATTTAGAATGCCGAAATTCTACTATTTAGACATAGAGAAATTTGGAAAATTGCAATTTTTTTCTATATAAGGACATTCCAGAATACGGTGTGGAATGGTCGAAAAAGTGCACCGATCTGAACCATTTTTAATAGTGTTCGTCCTTGGGTCAAAAAACGTCACTGTACCAAATTTCATCAAAATATCTCAAAATTTGCGACCTGTAACTTGAGCAAAATTTACAAGGACAGGCAGCAGGCGGACAGACGGACGGACATGCTTAGATCAATTCAGATTATGCCTCTGAACCGATCGATATAATAAAAAAAGGGGCGGTCTTAAGCGCTTCTTCGTGTTATATATATCGGCACAAACTTAATATACTCTGTTCCACAGGTGATGTAGGGTATGAAAGTCGGGTCAGATGAAAAAACTGCAAATATTTTTTCAGAAAAGCGTGCGAAGACAGTAAGATCCAAAGCAACTCGTTTTTATTACAAAAGAAAATATCAGAGTTAGTGAAAATTCAGCCCATAAGTGTTATAGAAGATATAAAAATTTGAACTAATATTAAGAGTAAAAATAAGTTTTCCAACCATTCATCGCTACTTGATAACAAACGTTCACGTTTATGGACCAAAAATGCTGTCGTTAGTAGACGTGTGCGAAGAAGAATTTCGTTGGCAGCCTCTGTCGGTTTTTTATTGTTATATTGTTCTCGATATTAGGTTATGAGGAACGGAAGTTTTGCTTCCTAAGTAAAATTTGTCTTTTAATAAAATAATGCCGGCGTGGGCTTGCCCGGCTATTTGAGGCGTGCTTACTTTAGTCATTGATATTCCTCAACTCAATAAAAATCCCAATACCTCTTGACGTCATAATTAAATTTTCCCATGTTAATGTCACTAACTTTTTTTTTTAAATTTCTTTTTTTATCTTTTGGTTCGTGCTAGAATAAAAAATTCGTGTAAAAAAGTGTATTTTCTACCATTGGGGAAACGTGTTATTTCAAAATCGTGTAAAAAAAGACATTGTAAAAAAGAGTTGAGTGTATTTGTTAAAAGCCGGTCAATTACATCATAAATAAAAAGTTTACCTAATAGTCTCTCTTAACAAGTTTCTCTTTTCCGCTTCTCTTCGATGATTGCATTCCTCAATTCATTCTCTTATAAAAATCATAAGCTCTTAATATTTTTCTCTCTTGTTTTAGACAATAATGGCATTTAAACAAGAAAATCTTCTGTTTTGCAAACAGTTAGTTTCTCTTTAGATGACAATAAGCACAAACTGTGTCCAATGACGGATGGAAAGAAGGAAGGAAGGATGTCAGATGAGCAATTTCGCATATTAAGCGAGACATTATATTGCTTGACGCCACGTTTGAAACAAGATGTTCATCAAGTTGAATCAAAAGGCAGTTTTAGCAATTGTCCGGACAGCTTCTCGGGATATCGGGAGTTTGAAGACGTGGAAGAGTTTATAGATGCGATAGAAACGTATAAAAATATGGAACAAATTACGAATGAAGATGCTTTAAAAGGTTTACCGCTATTATTGCACGATTTAGCATTCATATGGTGGAAGGGGATACATCGCGAATTCAAAACATGGGAAAATGCTATGACTTTGTTACGTGAAAATTTCTCACCTATCAAACCTGCTTATCAAATCTATAAGGAATTCTTTGAAACAAAACAAACCGAGTATCAATCTATCCATACTTTTGTGCTGCAGAAACGTGCTCTCTTAGCTAAACTACCGGAAGGGACGCTCGACAAGCAAACTGAAATTGATTTTATTTATGGTTTATTAAATTTTAAGTTTCGTCAACATATACCGCGAAATAAAATTAAATCAATTAAAGATCTGCTTGATAAAGGAAAACGCATTGAAAGATATTAAATTAAATATTTTGACCAGAAAACGGATTTTTGCTCCATTATTCATGCTCATCGCTATTATCGATATCGATTGCATGTTATTGTTCACGGTATTGTAAGAATCTAATTGTAAATAAAAGAGGAGGCGAATCAATTCTATTAGTTTACACACAATGAATATTTACTTACAATAAGCTAATGCGGGAATGTCTCTTGTTCCGCGAGCTTTATCTTTATATTCTCTCTTTTGAATTCCAAAAATAAGTTCATCTGTGCCGAATCTTATACATCATATTATATGTGGATTAAAACAGCAGTGTATTGCATAGGTCTTGTCGATGATTGTCAGTTTTGTGCAGGCATTATAGGATCTCCCAGGTAATGTGTGTGTCTGAAGACTTTTACAGCTTTATCTACTGTAATTTATGCATAATGAGTAAAAAAAACAATTTCTTTTTTGCTTTTGTAAACACCAGTGCTCTCGGTTTACGTTTTATAGTGATCATATCCTTCGAGTGATTTGTCCCATTTCCAATACCAATCTGCTTGCAAAGAACTTCCAGTATTCCTATCCAAATTTGAAGTCGATAGCTTCGTTTTATTATCAATATTTCGCAAAAACATTACATGGACAGATAGACGGACATACTTAAATCGATTCAGAATTTGATGAATGAAGGAGTATATATATATTTTATGGTGTTTGTGAAGCTTTCTTTCGGGCGTTTTGACAGAATTAATATAGCGCTTATGGGTGATAGGTATAAAGCCGTATATATATAAAGTAGTTTGAATCTTACGAGATATTTTTAGCGATATATCAGTTGGTCTCGCCCGGCCCAGCTACATTATTCTTAATTGTTTTTTTTTTTTAAATAATCACCTGCTGAGCACTCCTTTATTTCTTTCTGCCTTTTATGGCAGCTAATGTCTTCATATGCTGTACGAAATGCTTTCTGAAAGAATGTAATGTAATAAAAAGATAAATGATTGTGTACTCACAACACAAAATGTTTACATTTGAATTTCAACACAACACACACAATAGAACACAAATCAGCAAGAAAATTGTGAGTCACAGAAGGACACGCTACTTCATCAGAACTGACATAATGGAACAGGTTGTGGATCAATGCTTAGTCAGTCAGTCAGTCAGTCAGTCAGTATGTTTTGTATGTCGGGTTATTTGTACATATCAACTTGTGTATGCGTGTATGTATATGTATGTGAATTTCTCCTATGTTGTGTGTGTGTGTAGGTGTGTATGTATATTTGGATGTGCATGTGTGTGTTCGTATGTTCGTGTGTGTATATTTGTATCTATCGTATATATCTATTTGTGTACGTGTGTGTTTATAAAGGCCTTGTTGTATGTTGCTGTCGTCGGCGTTATTTTCTACAATTTTGTACTTTCTTCATTGTTAATCTTTGTCTCTCCGCGGCCTTGGGTCGGTGGATGGTTGACCAATACTGCTTAGTTATTTACTGTCGCCCTTAGCTATGCTACGTAAAACTAGTTCTTGCTCTTGCTTGATATTTTAAAATACTCCCGTACAGGGTTGCTTTATAACAGCAATAGTTGGCAATGTCTTCCTACGATTTGATCACTTTCTTTTATTTATTTGCTTGCGTGGCGCTGAACGACCCTCAATTAAACACGAAAGCGGTTAAACCCAAAGAGAAGAAAACAAGAAGAACGAGATCCGCCCTTTCCCGCCTTTATATCTAATTAAAATCGATCAGATGCACTGTCGCACTTTTTAAAGTCATTTACTTTCCTTTTCACTAAAAGAATTTCACCTGTGGTACTTTTCTAATAACAATCGCCTATGATAAGAACGGAACACTTAAGAACACGTCCGCGCAACGTCTGGAAGCTACTCCGTGCCTCGTAAAAACGTCGACAAAGCTAAGTCAATGTGGCGATAAAATGGATACAAAATGCTTAACACTGTAAAGTACATACTCTATGTGAAGAATTAATAGACTACGCAGACATATAAATGGGAAGATTTCTTTTGCTTCTACATGTTTACACAACGTGAAGTCATATCAAGAAACTTTTAACAGAATTGTTTCCCATACAACGAAAGAGCAACCAGTCAAATCGCTGTCAATTAACAGCAACAAAAATACGAAAAGTCCTTGACATTTTACTGGTTTAAAGGAATATCTTGTCAGTTAGTACCAATAGTAGCTTATTGAAGCAAAGTTTTTATACAATAATATATATATTAGAACAGAGCGCCTTCGTTGAAGTATGACCAAGTTTAAAATGCTACATCGAATTGCTTGGGAAATATCTAAATAACGGGGAATTAATGCAAAGACAATTCGCATAACTGAAAGGTCAATATCATCTGCGAGAAAGGCTACGACAACGACTAAGAACTTAAGTAAATAATGCTATAAAGATCTTTCGAATGAAATTTTTCATTCGAGAAAAAGGCAGCTGCCAAGGACTGCTGAAGAGTTATTGGTATTATCTGCACGCTCTTCAGCAGCTGTGATAGCTCCCCTTCACCATTTGATTACATAACATACGTAAAGAAATTTCATCCTATATATATTTGTAGCATTAAGTGGAATACCTTACAGGCAGGCGTTTCAAGAACACAATGCAATCCATTTAAAACCGAGTATCAGAGAAGGAAATTTTGGCAGCCCACAGTCTTCCCCGCCCACTTCACTTCGCCTTCGTATATTTGGAAACAAGTCGCCCAAACCATATTACGGAGAATCGAAGCTGGTCGCCATATTCCGTCATATATGTTTGTGTTCAGCTGAGAACGCAGAAATGCCCGAGAATATTGAAGGCTCCCTCAATAATGTAAGCACATTGCGATGCAAAGTTTGCTGCAATTATTTTTAATAGAACAAATTACTAAAGGCTTTCATGCGTTCTTATCTTCTTCTTTTTGGCAAACTTTATTCTTATATTAGCAAATAAAAACACTTTACGGTTATTGAGGCGCATGGTGTAGATATTCGCCAAGCCCACTATGAATGTTCTTTTTGAACTTTATTAAACTGTTATTAAATTTTCCTTTTACTGCTTGTTATTCTTTACTAAGGAAATAATTTCCATATATACATATGTATGTATACACGTTTTGCATATTAGATGCATACAATTTATAAAATTTTACGGATGTGTATGCATAAGAGCATTATGTGTACCGAATTCTCTACTTACATAACGGCGGCGCTAAGATCTGCCACTTTATCGACAGCCGTAACGAAAGCCATATAAGCTTAATACTGTCTGGAGCCTTAATTGGATGAAACTCTAATACAAAGACCATTAGGAGCTACATAACGAAGTGTATGCATACGTGTACATGTGTGTATGCTTAGGATAATTGGAAGGGTTTTTTATTGCTGAATATGCTTTATCAGCTGTAGCCACATTTCTATTTCATTGTTTTGCATATTTCTCCGAGATTATACTCTCGTTCATAATCATTAGTTTTTCCGTTTCCCACTCACTGCATGCATGATGCACACTAGTACAAATTCATATGCATAAAAATCTTTGGTTTCATTTAAGGAGGAACATACCCATCGCAAATGTAATGAAATTCAAGTTTCCCAATGAGATATTCTCCGATATCGAGAGGTCGTAAAACAGGTCCTATGCGCTTGACAAAACTGACTTGATTTATTTGTTCGTTTCTCGAATTTCTTATATCAAACATGTCAAAACTAATTTTATTCGAACTGAAAATAAAATGTCAGTAAACAGATAGAAAAAAACTAAGGATTGAAAAATTTATAAAAAAGAAGCGGTGTTGGACTAGGCCGACCTTTAAATATCCTACACCATATTGTCGAACACAGTTTTTATCTTTGTTGTAGAACACAAAAATTGTACCTTGTTTTCATAAGAGCTGGGACTGTATATTAAAAACTAGACCTCTTTGCAAATGAAGTCTTGGCTTCCGTTAGAACGGTTGTGCTCAAGAGGTTTATAAACTGAGGTACTTTTTGTATCACTTTTTATGTCAAATTACTATTATGGGTCAATTGTCATCACCATATATCAAAATTTAGACTTTGCTGCCCTGCTAGAGATCAATTTTGGTGAAACTCTTACAACTTCACATAGGATAGGGCCGAGATCGCCTAATTTTGGCACCGCTAATTTTTTTACGTTAAATTACTATTACGATATAATTTTCATCATGAATTATTTGAATATGTTTTTATCGTAAGAACGTCAGTTTTCGTTATATGAGAGGGGATGCAAAATTTGCCCCCGCCGGTTCAAAGTTTTCATAACAATTTAAAATGCCGAAATTCTACTGCTGAAGCACTTTTGCTGAGAAATTTGGAAAATTGCAATTTTTTTTCCATATAAGGACTTTCCAGAATAGGGTGTGGAGTTATCGAAAATGTGGACCGATCTGAACCATTTTTAATAGTGTTCGTCCTTGGATCAAAATATATCTCTGTACCAAATTTCAAATGGTAGAGTATAGGAAAGACTAATGATACAGATATTCTCGCAACGAGATACGTAATGTCACTCTTCGCATTAAAGTGTATGTTAGAGAACTTAACTTCCCCGCGAAGTCAAACAAAGATAGCACTGCAATAAATAACTAATACGATTTTTATTCAAATCAGTAATTGGTCTTAGATTGACGGACACTAAGCCAATATTTATTTTAAAGTTTCTGCCAATACTTTCACTAGCTTGATATGGTTATAGTTTTTTTATTGTAATGTAATTTTCTGAGATGGTTTTTGTTGAGTTAGCCAAATAGGACGGTTGCGACACATTTTATACATTGTGTTTCCATTGAAAAAGTTTCAAAGAACCAACGCATTGCGAAACGGCGCGCGATAGCATAGTTGGAACTAAAAGTTAAATGTCCAATAGTTTATCGAATACCCTTTACTTAAACTGTGCATGCGTTTGCGTAGAGCTATTCTACATCTCTTCAATAATCTTTTTGAACTATTTTCTCCGAATGATTGCTTATTAAAGAAAATTTAGAAGCATTTGATAAAAAAAAAAAGATAAATAT